GGCCTTGGGAGCAGCCCCCCGCCAGGGTCTGGGCTTCATCCTCTCACCTCTGCCCTCCTCTTCTCAGGCGGCTTCCAGATGCACCCGAAGCACCTGATCGTGGGGCCCAGGTGGCTGCGAGGCTGGCGGGGGAACGAGCTGCAGAGGTGCATCCGGAAGAAGCAGGTGGTGGGAGATCGGATGTTCGTAGAGGACTACCACAAACTCAACAAGAGGATCCGCTACTTGTACAAGCGCTTCAATCGCACTGGGAAGCACCGCTAGGAGCAACTGTGGAGCTCGGTTTTGTGGCATCGCGGTCAGAATAAAGCCATCTTTCACACGGTTGGTTCCCAGTGCTTTCTGCAGCGTTCGCTGGGCGTTTCTGGCTCAGTCCTGAGGTCCTGCTGCTACTCCAGGCCTGAGCTCCTCTGTGCAAGTTCTGCCCCTCAATCATTTCTTTGACATACTTCTCACAGACATCTGTTCCAGCCTGCATCCCTGAGCCTGACCTGGGAGTCTGCTATTTTCTGGCCAGGCTTCGAGCATCTTTTCGGTTGCTGTGAGCCCCAGGTTCTCACATCCTGCCTGATAATTTGAGTACACTCCAGCTTCTCAAGTTGGTGCTAAGAGTGCCTGCTAGCGTGTCTCCCTGCTTGCCCCTTTACCCTCCGTTTATCTGCGATTAAGCGTGAATGATCCAAGCGTTAGTCGAAATGCGTCAAAACCCACCTTAAGAACAGGATTTGTCATTTTTCACACCCATGATGACTTAGCCCTGTACTAATGACACTTACTGACCAAGTGGCCTTTTGCTTATAATTTAGCCAGGATTTGCAAAAGTAATTCAGGCACTTAACTGTTTGTAAAAACTCTAGCTTCTCATTCTCCGTAACTGATTCCTTTAGAGGAGAAGTCACAGTGCTTCAAAGCTGGTATCCCTCCAATCCAGCATTACAAAGACTGTTATGTACTTCAGAAAAAAATCTGTACGACGAGCAGGCATTTGCCTGTCTCTCTTCCCTTAGTTGTTAATTCGTCTGCTAGGTAGCTGGGGAGTTATCCGCTGGCTTGATGTGTCCTGCTGGAGAGCAGCGCTACTCTGTCTTTAAAAGCACTTGGCTGGAAGCAGGAGGGAAGGAAAAGAACTTCCTTGCGGTCTGCACCTGAGGAAGGTGAAGCCAAAGCCTCTGTTGAAGCAGCTGAAGCCCACGTTCTCGGGAGCAGGGTGTCAGGCCGGTGGGGCCTCCTGCCAGAAGGCGCTGCAGATTCGGGGCCACGTGCGCAGATCCAGGTGGGAGAACAAGCACGCGCCTGGAAGGGAGCAGCCGAGGGCTGTCACACGCGTAAACCCCGGGGGTGTCAGATCCGTGGCTGAAGGTGGGTCAGAGCACGGCGACGCGCCAGAGGAAAGCGCCTGGCGCCCTTCGTCAGCTCTCCGTCCCAGCCTGGCAGGGCTCAGCAGTTCCGCAGGCTCCATCTTCCGCCACGTGCAACGGTTCCCGGAACGGCCCTTGAGCCTCGGTGCAGAGGTCGCTCCGCTACAGAACCTTCTTCCGCCGCCAAGGCGCAGCCCGAGAACCTCCCGTCCCTGCACCGGGTCGCTCCGTGACCCTCCGCGGTCCCAAACCGCCTTGGCTCCGGTGACGGTCCCGTGCTACGG